GTGGGAGGCAGGTGCTATTATCACCTCCATTTTACAATTGAGGAATCTGAGGCAAACAGAGGTTAAATGACTTGCCCAAGATCAATAGCTGGTAAGTGTCTGAGGATGGATTTGAACTCAGGTCTTCCTGACTACAGGTCCAGTATTCAGTGCACGATGGCACCACCTATCTGCCTCTTAATGTGAAGCTTTTTCTCTGTGCCATGAAATCCTGACCAAAGTGCAGAAATGAGAAATCAGCTGGATAGAATGAATGTGGTCAGATTATAGAGGGACTCTTGACAGCCATGCATTGGTATTTGGACTCAATATGATGGGGAACAGGAAAAGTGCGGACTGGAAACTAGCACAGCCGATCTGTAGTCTTGGCTCTGTTAATTACTTGCTCTGGGGCCTTGGACAAGCAACTTTAACTTTTCTGGGACTCAGTTTCCTCATCAGCAAAATGGAAAGTAAATCCCTTATCTAAAATAACAATAATCCTTTCTCTACCTATTTCACAGGGTTGTTACAAGTCTCAAAGGAGATAAGAAGGCACAGGAATTGTGAGTACACTTTCACTGTGGAGTGGGGGGGGGGGTAAAGCCAGAGCCTGGCAAGTTGACTCTGCCTCAACTTATGACCTTGGGCAAATTATTTGCCCTCTCTAGGATTGTTTTCTCATCTGCAAAAGAGTACATTAAACTATATTGCTACGATCTCTTCTACCTCTGACATTTTGTAATTTAAGATTTCTTTCATTTCAAGTTCTGTGACAATGTGACTTGGGGTCTGAGTATAAAGCAGAGAGAGCATTTGAAACAGCTCAGTACTTTTTTTTCCCTATACCTTCTGGCTTTCCTTATACACTCACTGAATGAGACTCCACCCATTGGGCAGTGTCAGAAGACCTGACTTCCATAACTGAGGTGGTGTTGTGGAGGATTTTTTGGGTCATTTACAGATGCTGTTGTAGCTGTGATGCCTGTGTTACCCAAAGCCCAAGAACCTCCAGAGTCCGAGAAGCTGCAGCTCTCTGCAAGGGACCTCCTCACAGACACTGTGATGAGACCTTTTGACCAGAATGAGATGCAGCCTGTTGACATTTCCACAATACATGCAGATGGTTCACAAAAATCCAATTTAAAAGGAAAGGAATCGAGTTACCCGCCGCGGGGTCTGCTATTGCTTCAGTTTTGACAATTACGTTAGGTGCTCAAAACTCTACCAATAACAGCATTAAAGGTTAGGTGGTGAAGGGATTTTTGAGTCAAACATGTCCTGCCTGTGTTTCATCACCACTGGAGTTGATAAGAGAAAAGTGAACAGAACTCTGAAGCTTTCCAGCGGAGGTAGCTTTGCTAGTGATTCCCAGGAGGCCTTGAACATCTCACAGGGTTTCTTATGTCTTGGTTAAAGCTCAATGAGAGTAATTCCTGCCCTATTTTCCCTCCTCCCTGGGATGGGGAACGTATGAGGTTCTGATGAGTAACAGCAGCCACAAGGCCATATTTATTCCAGAAAATATCATCCCAGCCTCCTGCTGGAAAGCAACACTGTGGGGGAGACAGTCATTCAAGCTGCCATTTGAATATGCACCTGAATATGCACATCTCAGGGTGAAAAGTCATTTGTGAAACTAGTTGCCCGCATAGATCTTTATTTGCTGATTGTTACACCAGTTCTTATGCTCTTCCTTTTGGAACAAGTCCTCAAACTCACAGGCTTAATTTTAGCTCAAGCAGCGCCCACCCCGTGGGGAAATTCTTGAAAGGGGTGTGTGCATATGTGTGTGTGTTATGGGAGAAGGTTTGGCTCTGCATGAGAGATTATTTTGTGCATCATGTTTAACTGCTCAAAAGATCTACCTGGATGTCCCACCAGTGCCTCGAGTCAAAATGTCTCAAATAGGGTTTATCTTTTGCCTTTAACTGATCCCTTTTGTTGACTTTGCTGTTAGTGGTATTCACACGGCTCCCAAGTTCAAAATCTGAATGCTATCTTTGACTCTTCTCTAGTTTTGCTTATTGCAATCTATCAATCACCAATGAATTTTATCTGCACAATGTCACTTACATTTCCCTCCCCTCATCTCTAATCCCATTGCTACCACACTAATGGAAGTCCTTGCTTCTATCAGCCTGGACTATTGCAAATACTTCTACTTCTGACAGCAGGCTCTTCTGCCTTCACTTTCTCATCACAGTCCATCCTTCTTACCCCTACCAGACTTATTTTCATAATATACACAAAGACTCCGGATGGCTTTAATGAATGGCTCCTGATGGCTAAATGAATAAAATTCAAACTCATTATTTTGGCATCCAAGGACTTTCACATTTTAAAAAATAAGTTAATATTGATGTATGCCGTCTTTTTACATCATTATAGTTTTACTCCCTCCTCCCAGAGAGCCATCCTATATAACAAACAGTATTTTTTAAAGACAGAAAAGAAAGAAGCTAGCATAACTGACCAATATACTGAAAAAGTCTTTAAAATATGAGCAATGTGCTCCCAGCTCTGAAAAGGAATGGGTTCGAAATATCTTTTCATATTTCTTCTTTCAAGTGCATGAGTCAGGACATGCCCCTATGATGTCATTGGTTGCTTTTGAAAATGAAGGACAAACAACGTTATCTAGTATCAATTGGGCTTCACTTAAGGATTGGCTAACCTCAGTGGCCATTTCAAGTCTTTTGCCTCTCCTTATACTTCAGGATGTCACCTCATACTTTACTGAAAAAACTGAGGCCATTCACTCCTTTTCCCATCCTTCTCCTTATCAAAGAATTGCTTAAGAATCTTTCCCTACTGTCTCCTCCTTAACCCCTGTTTCTGAAGAGGTAGAATTTCTCCTTCCCAAGGCCAATTCCTTTATATCAGAGATGTACTGTGAGAACCAGAGTAGAATGCAATTGAGAAACATTTAACAAAATAAACGAAAATATAATATAATGTTAATTTGTGGTTTTCTAAGTCAATACAAGGGCAGGAAATCTGTTTCTATTTTGAGTTTGAACATTGTTTTAAATGCATCCTAGATCACACCTTATTTAGAAGATTGCTTCCACTTTCATCCCCACTTTAATCTTGCATCTCTCCCTACCTACTGGCTCCTTCCTCTCTCCTTCTTCAATGGGGACTGGCACATGTTTGAGGTACCTCTGATAGTGTCTCTCCATGAGGAAGAACTGCATCCAGGAGAGTTGTAATCACATGTAATTGAAGCATCTTGGAAAGACTTGAGCATTGGTGGGTGCTCTGTAACTGGTTCCAGTCTGCTAATCACATGGTTAGAAGACTTTTTGATTATCTGCATAGTCATTACCAGGGTTATCTTCAAAAAAGGCACTAGTGACAAAAGTCTCAGTTGTTCTTTTTGGTTGTACAATCTTGGTGAT